GTTCGCGTTTGAAAATTACAACATTATGCGTCTGACAAATCCTTTAAAAATAGTGTTTTTATTGTCTTTTAATTTGAATAGATATAATGATCCATAATAGGATAATTTTTAGAAAAAGAAACAAAATAGGTAGCATTTTTGTGGCATACAACAACTTACGTGGGAGGTATCGATTTGTACTGTAACTTTATATGACTGTTTATATGAATTTGATGTTGTATATAACTGTTTATATGAATTTGATGTTGAATTACATGAACCAAATATGATTTGAAATACTTTGTATTGGTTAATATTAAACAAAAAGATAATTAAAATATCGAAGTTATTACTTTCACCAAATTCTGGTCTCTCCTTATTACAGATTGTACCACTGAATATTTTATTACTCTAAGACCTTAAAACTGGGATAAAATCTAACATTTTCGTTTCCACTGCAATGTAAAAATATTTTTAATATAATTGTACATTGTATAGGTCTCCATATTTACATAAAAACTAATACTATATAGAAGGACAAAAACTCTCAAAACAAATGATTACAATTAAAAAAACGTCGTGTCTTACAAGATCAACTGACGCAATTGTCATGAAATAACAGACAGTTGTAATAATCGACACAACCTTTATAATATAACAAAGTTTGGCCAAGTCCATAAAATATTGGCGACTCATACCTAAGATATATTTGTGATAAGTTTCCAATTCATTGCAAATAGAGGTGTGGGATTTCTGACCGATGTGACATATTTTATACTCGAATTTTAAATATGTTTTAATATTTGAGATAATAATCATGATGTTTATGTAGGTATGTTTAATTTTTTTTCTATTCTTGAAAACACTAGACAATGTTTCCAATAAAAACGAAAACAATTCATTTAAAAAAGTAAAGTTTTGGTATCTCTATAAATTCCGTTTTATTCCAATAAAATAATGTAACCTAACTGACCAGTCATTGGCAGCTAAAGTAATTCCGTTTATATAAATTCACTTCAATTTAAAAAAAAATCTAACTGGAAAAATTTTAACAACGATTAGATGAAGGCCAATCATTCATTAAAGGTTAGCCAAAGATGATTTAGATTTCAGCCTAGCGTGGGATAGTCTGATTATAAAAAAGAGCTTCAAAAATTAACTATAAAATTTATGTGCATATTATCAAAAATGTACCCAATAGATTATCTAGGGGATAGCTACTTAATGCCTTTGTTTCTGGCTTATGAGAAAAGTTTGGTGGCAAAGATTTCTTTACGTCTCAACGAGGTGACAATTAGCTTCACCTGTTCAAATGTAAAAACAGTATTTCACATACCAGTGAACCTTTGAATTTAACAGATAGAGGTTCTATCCGGGTTAAGTTATCTTAATATCTAAGCTACAGACTCAATATAGGCCACATGAGAAAAATTTGAGGACACCACAGTACCTGATGGTTAAAAGTGAGTAGTCGGTATATTTTACGAATACATTCTGACAAAGCTATTGTGTAAGATTACATTAAATTTTAAAATATTGAATAATAAATAATAAATAATAAATAAATAATATCACCACATTTGGTAACTGCCTAAATGGTCAAATTAACATAATCTAAATTTCTTTCGGATTCTTTTTGATCCCGTTTAGAACGATAGCTAGATTAATATTTCTCTATAAACGTGATATCATCTGCTTCAACAAAAACACCCAGTAATAGCACATTATACATACATAATAAGAGTTTCAGAGCCCCAGAGAAATCCTTGCATTGACTGCCATAGACTAATAAAACTAATCATAAATCCTCGTCAAGTACTTTTCAACCATAGACCTTAAAAAACTTTTCAATAAATCTTTCATGCGATATGCTAACGATAACATAGATATCAAGACGATGCATGAAACTGTGACAGCTTCGTCGTTATTCTCTCCGAAAATCTTTTAGTTAACCATAAGACCTCTGCCTCGAATTTTGCGGGCAGCGAAGCGGCAGCGGGAGCGGCAGGATCTTACGCGTATAATCAAATGGACCGACCCTCGAATACAGCGGTGCCCGCTACCCGCTAGTTTGGAGAACAGGTACGCGTTGCCCGTGCCGCCGCCGCCGCCGCTCCGCTGCTCGCAAAATTCGAGGCCGAGGCCTAAGTGTATGCCCAAACACTATAACATTTCCAACCAAACTATTAAACCGAGACTTCAGCGAGTATAAAATATGTTTTTTGTATAAATTTTCAAAAAATCAAAAGTGATTTTATTGAAAACATGATATTTGTAACTTGAAACCTAAAGATATAAAATCAATACATTTTAAAACGGAAAATCAAATTAAACTTTAAAAATGTTTGCATTTTGAATATTGTGCGGATAATTTTAACAATAAACAACCACCTATAAACTCTTTCTCTATAGAAACGTACAAAAGTTTTGTTTGCCTCATTCCACTCAATCATATTCATTCACGCGCAAGAAACGATAAACTTCCCTTATGACCTTTGAAATGATAAATTGTTTGTGTAATCGAATAGAAATCACTCACCAATATTTGGTTAAATAAAACTTGCCACATTCCAATGGAGCGTAGCAAGAAAGTACTTGACGAAGTTAAAACAAAGAAGTTTATTTAGGACTAAAATGCGAAAATGCCACATATATTTAAAAGGGTTTGCTATGTTTTCAGAACGAACATATTTAATGAATAAATAATAATAAAAGCAATGTGATTTTTGTTAAAAAGAAATTATTTCGTTATTACAAAATATTTGCTATTACTAAATAAATAAAGAAACTAATATTATTTATTTGATATAACTAAGCGGATACACGCTTTAAAACTACAATTTTTTTCTATGACACTATAATTACCTCGTTCTGATTTTTAAGATCAATGTTACTCTTGTTACACAAGAATTTCACGCTGACAGGTTTGTAAAACATGAATCCGGAATTTAAACACTTATGTTCTTGTACTCTATGCATTATTTTAATTACTAAATTAATATCTACGTAGCTAAACGTGTATTTGTAAATACTTGTTTGTTGGAAGTATTAGGCAATCATTATTTCTTTAAACTGGTCCAAGCTGAAGGCAGACGTGACTTGCTTTTTTGAACAAATTAATTATGAAAGTAATTTACAAAAACAAGTCAACGGAGGCGGAAACTTTTCTCATATTTTAGATTATTTTTATAGAATAATTTTTTCTTCTAATTTCATTATTAAGTATTTCATAATCGTGCTAATATTATAATACCTAAATACTTACCTATTTAAAATAAATATACAAAAACCTATTAAGTGACTCTATGAATACAGTGCCAACTTTCAATACATTAATCTTCAATCACTTGTGTCGTTAAAATAATTTCTCTTTTATTCGTTTCAGTCTCAGCCATCCCACAATTAAATTCGAATTCCTTTTTTGTCAAAGACGTTTCAATATGTTTACTAAAGTTTCAAAATATTTTTCCAATAAGTAATTTTATGAGTACTCGCAAAAATAAATAAAATATACCACAAGCCTGAGGGCTTATTAAAATTAACCTGAATTAAATTATTGAAAAAATATGAGTATTTTTTCAATAATTTAATTCAGGTTAATTTTTGAGTTGTTTAACATGATGTATACCCGTAGACCGAGAGAGGCTGAGTGTTAGAGCTGCGTGATTTATTAAATATATTGGGGGCATAAGCTGATGTGGTAAAAATATTATTGAAGCAATTTAATAAGATATACAACCAATAAATCGAAATAATGTTTCCTTAGGTTTAACTTTTAACTTTAACTTGTAAGGTTAACATTATATTTTTAATATTTTGTTATTAATTTGAACTGTATATGTGAATAAATTTGTAATTTGTGAATAAAAATATTCTTCTACTTTTATGTCACAGAGGCGTGCTCGGAAAAAAACTGTATCTATTTTATTTTTTTAATATTCTTGTTTGCTTTCATATATTTTAATAACTTCTTTTATAACATGCCATATAATAGAGCTCATAAATAGTAAATTCATGAAGATTTTTTTTTACCATGATTTGTATATTAATAAGTCGCTTAATGTGTATTAACATTTTATTTAAAATTAAGGTATCGAAATTTTAAAGTCTTGTTTGGTAACTTTATGTTAAAAGCCGACGTTTCTCCAAAAAAAAAATACATATCTCAAAAATAAAGTACACAATATGTATTAAAACTTTAATTTGTTGCTAACTGCTTTCAATTAGTATCTTGCTAGCTAAGTTACGACCTGTGTAAGCTTTAGTTTAGATTGTGACTTTATAATAAATTAAACATTTCGAGAGAATATTAGACAAACTATAGAGGTTTAGTGAATTATTATTTTATATTTATAGGCTGTAAATTCACAAAATAAATAATTGCTTCAATATAAATTTAAATAATTTTCATTTTTTTTATTTTCATAATGTTAAGACATAACCCACTTTTAATCTTCGTTCCAGTTGTGTAACAGCTTCATTCACGCACGCAGACGAATATAATTTTAATTTTATAATCATCACTTCATTACGGAATTGCTTTTTAGAAAAATTCTTTTAACATACAACACTAACAAACAAAGTCCAATCAATATTTTTTTGGGTCACGGAACAAATGTAACAAAAGTTTTAGGGTGATATCGAACAAATTAAGTAATAATTGCCTAAATTGGAATTCCGGTCTTCAGGCCCATTGTTACATCTATCCGATTGTTCTCTTCGAATTTAATAAAATAGACACGCTCCCTAAGGACTTACTTAATGAAATATTTCTTTGACGGAAATCGAGTCATAAAAATAGTATACAATATTTAAGATAAGCTATCAGTGGTAATTAAAAAAAATGTTTTAAAATTTAATTGCAGCAAATTCATTATGTATATTATTTTAAATGTGATAATTTTAGAATTAAATCCAACTAGGCAACAATAATCATCATAACATAATAAGTGATATAAAAATCTTAATATAAACTGTTTTAAAATTTCTTTAAATTCACAGAAAATCCAGACTAAAACACCATGGTCAGCACAGCGATCTGCAAGTCTACACTATGGATATCTCTTTTACATGGCTGCCTTTTCCTCATTGGTATGTAGTATCTAGATGTAAGGTTCATCTATTACGTATTTTATAGTAATAGTTAGAAAAGGTCGCTAGCTGATATATTCTTGCTAAGGAGAATGACTTACACAGTGACGTATATAAAGAGATTTAATTATTTTTTAATATCAAACTAAGATGATCTAAAAGCAAGTCTATGCGCTTATTTTATTATTTATCAGAACATATGGATAAGTTACTTACGTGGAGGTATGTACAAAGTGTGAAATCTACTGATTTTTGTTTGAGTTTGAGTCAAATATTTATCCAACTTGCACTTACATGTAATGTATATGTTGATTACTTCCTATTAAAATATAAATCACTAAGCAAACACAATATGTATTGGCGTATTGTATCGTGATCTGAGAATCATTTTGCCCTTTTTTATTATTTTAATCTACAATTGTAGATAGGGAATTTATATGATATTTACTGGTATTATCTCTGATGGACGAGCAAATACTATTTGTATCTTTAAACTTTACTATGATTAATATATAAATATTTTTCCTTGTTGTAACGTAATCTATAAAATCTCCATTGTTTATATGTTTTATATAATAACTAATATAAAACATATTTTAAAATACCTTGAATAGAAGATGTTTCCATAATCATTTTAATTACTCACAATTTGTTACTCTTACCTGATGATAATTTGGAACGAGTAAATGAAGAAATCTTCTGGTAAATAAACCGTAAAATATAAACATATAACGTTAAATGTAATAAAAAGGATTTAATTTTTTGTAAAAAAATATTTAAGAATTTATTTTAAACGTTAAACGCTTCACACTATACGTTAGTAAATATTAACTACAAATCCATAATTTCCATTCTCTCTTCAAATAACTTACATAAATAATACAAACGTACTTAACACATTTTATATATAAATAGAGTTATGGTATTGAAATATAACACCGAACAGTGACAGTATTTTAAATCAAACACAATCTTTGTAATTTTAATTATCATTATATACCTCTTATAAGGATATTTTCCAAATACAATTTGTTAAATTAAATTTATTATTCATATTTATATTGTATGATATAAATTCAAATCAAATCAAAGAAAACAAAATTAGATTGTACTAATTAGGGATATTGAAAAAATATCCTACTTTGATTGTAATTGTATTTTATAAGACTGTAGAAGCATGTTAATTCATTTAAATGGGTTAATATAAAATAATATGGCAGCTTTAATTCAAATTAAATTCGCAACTCGGTTAAATGGTTGGTAATTCATGTAATTTAAGCAGGATAATCTTCCAACCAACTTAATCCATATCTTTGGAATTATAAGAGTCTTAGATTGGGATGCTTTCTGTATAAAGGTCTTAAGATGGCTTAGCAGCCTTCTCTCCTTCCTTATCTGAATTTTAACAACAGAAAGAAGTAATAATTATAAAAATAATAATGGAAAGAAGATATTGTATTAAAAAAAACTTTCTTTTAGCTGGTTCCGGTACAGAAGCTCCAACACAAAGTCCAACATTGGAAATGTCCTCCCAAAAATTCAGATCAGAATTGCTTCAAGAATGGCATGCTTCACCAGATGCTCCTTATTTTGATGCTAACACACCAAGAAATATTACTGGCTTAGTTGGTCATCCAGTAAGACTGCTCTGCAGGGTCAAAAATCTTCAAAACAGGACTGTAAGTATTAAAAAAATTATTATATTTGTTAAGGTGGTAAAGCCAAGCTGTGATCAAGTTACTAAGTTAAACTCGAACATGGGCTGGCTTGGCCCGTGAATTACCACTCTCTCACAGAAGATTGGCTTGAAGTAGTCTTTAATGGCCGCGTTTCGTCCGATGATTGAGAGAACCGGTAGCCCTTTCCCTATTTCCACCCTTTCCTGCCCTTTCTCTATTTCCAAATTTTCCTCCTTCCTCAATAATCAAAGTCGGCAAGGCATCCGCAACATCTCTTATGTTGTAGATGTCAGTGGGCGACCTTTTCCATAAAAAATGAAATAAGAAAACAAACATATTGTATTCATTAAATGCGTAAAACACCGAAATTTTGATTTAATACTACAAGTCTTCTTCAAGGTAAAAATCATAGTGATAATTGATTTCTTTATTTTTCTTTATTGATAATAATTGGATTAGATTTAATTAGTTTGTATATAAAGAATGGCTTAAACGAAAAAGATGTAAGTGAACTATCTTTGAATTTTATTTTATCGACTCTTGCTAGTAAATTCGATCGTACAACACGGGCAGTTTAGTAAGGAAGATAATTAGCAAACGAAACTAGAGCTCAACCCGTTTATTTTAGCTATTTGGTAGTGTTGTTTTACGATATAATACTGCAAGTTCAAATTATAAACAGAATAATGTCAATAATTTCTTCTGAGAGAATACATTGGTAAAAACTATAAGAACACTAATATGATATAATATAATAAGCAGGAGAAGAAAAAGGTAGTTATTCCCAGTTTTCTACGTAAAAACTACAATTGAGAATGTATGCAATGGATTCGATTAATAGCTGTAAACCTGGTGGTGCACATGGCTTAGTATATACATATATTTTATTAGATGTGCTTAGAAACTCTCCACACTTGACGGACTTTATCACTATCACTGCTTTCCGAACTATTATTAGTTTTCACATAGAATAATTATATTGACTTGTAGATGAACGGTAAAGTTTAAAAAGTACTTCTAAAATCGACACGTCTAAATAGGTAATTGAAAAGTATATTTTATGAACAACTTTCTTAAATCATGAGCTACATTTATACCTAATACCGATGTAATAAGTATTTAAAAAGCATTTTTACATTTATGAATTTCATCATAATAAACTTGAACCTTAAATAAGCTGAAGTACCTCATTATCCATTTTACAATTACTTGGATTTTCTATGTTTCAAGTATGTACTTTTGAAAATTTAAGGCTTTGAGAGTGAGTACTTATAAATAGGAAAATACGTTTAATATTGTAATGTTATTCCCATATTTTTAAATCTTTGTTTTGTTTTAAAATGTACTTTTGTTAATAGTTTAATCATTATATCGCCATGAAAATGTCAAGGAGATATAAGGGAAGTCGACAAATTTAATAATTTTTTTTTATTATTTAAGATGTTGGATTACAGATTTTGACAAAAAAATATGATTTTCGTTTTGCTTATTACTTTTTGTTTCTACGTTACTAACATCGGTAATATCGGAGGCAGAGACTTAAATTTAATAGAAAGAATATGTACGGTCCCGAGAATTCAATCAGGGTCAATTTATTTTCCATCTATATTTATTTTTAAGACTGCGCAAACAATATATTATAAGCGTACCATTTATTGAACAAAAGCTATTCTTTTCTTCACTCGCAATCAGTATTTAATACGCCGGAGCCATGTTTATTCAATGGGAACATAAAATGTTCAGTGTTATGGCTCAAGAGGTTTTATATTTATTATTAGCTTTCGCGCAAGCGATCGTTTTGGTTCTAAAGTACGCACTTAAGTATCCCTATTGATAACGCGAAGACTACAAACATATCATTTTATCCATATGAAAGTCAATAAACTTTGTAAATAACTGTTAATATTAAGGTGAAAAAAGTTATGACATACATCAATAATCATAAAGAGAAGAACTCACTTTACAATAAATTTCCAAAAATGACGAAAAAGAAAGTTAAGAAGGAAGTCTCATTAGGATAAACATCGAAGAATTTCCACTATATGTTCATCACGGTTAAGATTTTATTCTTTATACAAATAGATAACCTTACAGGAAGATGATTTTACACTTATTCATTTTTATTCATTCAATAAAATGAAAATATTATTAAATTCATAGGTTAAAAATTATCATACGATCCGTATTTTATATAACAATGCCTGATAGGACCATTGGAGTGTATACAAATTATTATACAAATTATATTCATATCAGTGAGTCGCAATACAATATCATACTGATAACACTAATTTATTGTATACTTAAGTATTCCCAGTACGCCAAGAAAGATAATGGCAATTTTGATGAATTTCACTAATAAAATTGTGTTTTGCATATTATCCACATTTCTCCCATCGATTGTAGAAGTTTACTAAGTTATTATAATTTATACAAAAGTTAATATCATTTCTTAAAGTTTTTTCGGAAGCTTGACTTATAAAGTTTATATTGATACGGTTTAACTTTTGTATCTCATTATGTCAAAGAATATGTATCATTGAATTTAAATGTATGAGTTATAATAATTTTGGTTTTGAATTCGGCATTCTTTATTATCTTAATTTCACTTTCCATAAATTTATTTACATTAATACTACATTGAATAAAACTCAGGCGGGAAATCATTAGAAACCAAAATCTGATTCGCTGAATATTCTAACCAAATATTAATTTGGTTAGGAAATTTTCAGTAATAATATATGAAATCAGTTGCTAAAACGTAAAAGTGTAACTGTAATAATTTAAATATAAAAATGAGTAAAGTATTAAGGATAAGTCTGGCGTTACTTTACTCAACCCCTGTTTTATAATTAAAACGATGAAGTAATTAGTTTTGTTAAGAGCATTTTAACGTTTAAATGTAATTTTACGTAGACCTAAGGATATAAATCTACGTCTCGTTGGTTATGGGATCTTTCTGGGACAGTAATTTCTCTGACAGTACCTGCTTAAGATCTTAATGTTTTTAAACCAATTAGTAATTTTAAATGCTTAAGCTTCAAATATTTTACAATATCTAAATAAATACTGTTTTCCATAACATTATAAATTACATTATAAAAGCAATTAGGGTTACTTTTAAATATACATATTTAATAACATAATTGTATAACACATAATTATAGTTCATCATTCTTCTTAGGTATCTTGGGTACGTCATAGAGACATCCATCTGTTGACTGTCGGACGGTACACCTACACATCGGATCAAAGATTCGAAGCACAACATAAACCGAGATCTGAAGAATGGGCTTTGAGAATAAGGAGTCCTCAGCGGCGAGATTCTGGTCAATACGAGTGTCAGATATCTACAACACCACCAATAGGTCATGCTGTTTTCTTAAATATTGTCGGTAAGTATCTTATAGAGAAGTAATAAAAGTGAGCCTAATTTAAATGATATAACCTACTTCATTTGAGAGACTGCATCTATACCGATAAGAAATTCAATAGAGTCAACTACTACATAATCAACAACTATATACCGACGTAAAATAGCTTGTTTTGTGTTAAATAAATAAAAGGGTTGGAACCCACAAGCTTTCCATTTCCTAATGTCTTAATGCAATCCTTCTCCTAAAATAAATCAGCTTAGGGTTTACGACACTTCTTCTATATATGGGAATGTATGTATATACATATATTTCGCAAAATTTTCTGGTCAATTATAAATATTTGAAGAGGCTGGCTAGTTGATTTTTGCCCTCAATTATAGATTTATAAATAAACAGGTCTAGTACTCAGAAATATTTCAACTTTAATGAAAAAATGTAAAACATATTTCGTATAATTATTTAAAAGCTCTAGTTTTTATAAATATGATTCAATTTATTTTCTAGAACCTGAAACGAAGATATCGAGTGGTACAGAATTATTTATACAAACCGGTTCAACGATCAATCTTACTTGTACGGTCAAACATACCCCCGAACCACCTACATCTATCACATGGACACATAGAGATCAGGTATATAAAACTAGATTTTCCGAAGAGAGTAGAAATAAGATTTTCTATAGTCAAAAACTACTTTATACTACATATTTGTTCATATGCATTGTATATATTTTATGCCTATAATATCTCTTTATTAAATAATATATATATATTTATTTATTTATAAAGTAATATCGCAATACCTATTAAAAATTGCGGTTAACCGGTATATCCGGTTGGCTATTAGATCATTGCACAAATTAGAATATGTTATATTAAATTAAATTTAACGGAATCATGCCGTATTATTAAAATGATATGTGACTATGAAACTGTAACATGTAATTATTGTGGCCCAATTGATTGCTAATAATAAGGTAAACGTTTCACGTTTGACCTTGTCAATAATTCGTATATTCATTTATTACAGATAATCAATTTTGATTCAGCTCGAGGAGGGATTTCTCTTGTAACAGAGAAGGGCCTCAAAAGTACAAGTCGTCTTTTAATACAGCGAGCTCGAGGATCAGATGCAGGGTTGTATACTTGCGGTCCTAATAACGCGCCCTTGGCTGCCATTAGAGTACATGTGCTGTCTGGTAAGATGACTTATAAAAATAAGCTATCGAAAAATTTATTAATTCTCGAGTTTGTATTGTTTTGTGTTCCTTAAAAATATTACATTTTTCGCATTTTTATAAAAGTATACTAGTAACTTATATACGTATACATATGTTTTAATATATAATAAAAAAATCATTTTTCATTTTCAATATTCTGGTATATTTTATTTTTAGGTGAACATCCAGCAGCGATGCAGCAGGGCTGTTCAAAATCAAATTTAGACATTTCTGTTTCTTTGTGTCTATTATTTACATACATTTGCTTTTTGGACTTTTTCCATTATGATACATGAGATTAATATAAAATATTGTTTTTGATTCTTAATATCAGTAAGGATTAATATCAATTGCATGCAACAGTCAATTAAACGTGTGGAAAATCCGTGTGCATAATTTTTACTTGTAAATAGGATATTTAGAAAAATCTTAATTATAAACTCACACAAATGATTCAATGATATGGAATAACTTGTACCATGGAACCGTAAGGACATTTTTTTTGTCCAACTAAATCTTAATCATTCTTATTTAGAAATACTATATTATTTTAGTCGTAAATAAAAGAATAGATATTAATATAATTGTAAATAACTACATTTATTCTTCTGTTATCATATATCATTAATTAATTTTCACTTTGTTATAACGAAGTTTGTTATAAATAAACGTTTACAAAGACCAAGATTAAAACAAATTTATGTTGAAAGTTTGATATACAATCCCCAAAACAATATCAAATTTAAACAAAGACCTATAAAGACGGGGTTTCTCTAATACTGTAACGAAATTTAGGCAACATCTTAACATCGTCAGCTCACTGATAATAAATGGGCAAAGGGAAAACGCGTTAACGAACTGAGATAAACGAAAACCGATAAATCACAATCCAATTACGTGGGATGATGTACGAAGAGGATAAAAAATATTTAAGATAACATCCTTATCACAATCTTCGATACAACTAAATTACTGATAGAAAGGAACACTCATATAAAAGCTCTTTGACCAAAATATAACATATTAGATTATGTGTCACGAAATATTTTTCCCATTCCAAACTGAACGTTGTCACAAAATGAGAAATCATTTTCGGTTTGTTTTTCAGTATCCATGTCGTTCAAATGTCAACATAAAATTTGTTTTTTAAAAAAATAATAAAAATCTCATGTAATGTATGTATATATAGTAGTAAATATAAAATTTATGTGGACATTAATGTGTCGTCATAATTATTCTGTAATTAATTGTTTCAATAAATTAAAATGTAATTATGTTCTATTTCTAAGTAAAGAAGGTATTATTTTTTATTATATCCTATTTATATATGTATAGGATGAAAAAGATATTGATTTCAAAAGTGAGAAGATTGTGAAACTGAAACATTTTCATAAAAATATAGTTTAAGTAAATTATGCTGTTATGAATTGTAAGTTTAAGTAATTGATAAAATATAATCATTCCATTCAAATAAAAAACGGAAATAATTTATTTTATATGTGATAAGATACCCAAAAAGTGCATCTGTGATTATTTTTAACATTAATAAATCATATTGTTACTATAAACTAAGATAATATATATTAATCTATTGACATTTTCAATATTAAATAAGAATATTGCTATGATCTTCGATGTATTATAAATAAAATAATGTTTTTAATTAGTCCGACTTTCTTTTTGACCTTGCTTTATTATATTCCAATGTAAATAATCTAATAGATTAGATGAAAAAATACCAGGCATTCCTTTCGTTTTCTGGTTATGAACTACATAAATAATTTAGTAGTCATATAATATTTAGGCGTATAAAATTTGTACTCCACAAAATAAACATTTTTGGCTACTTTTATCTAACCTTCTGTTAACAAAAGTAGATGTGGCATATTATGCAACACGTTCATATCCATAGAAAAAATATAATAACAAAAATCTACAAATACCAAATTATTGGATATTGAGTAAATTTGCGTTTCCACTCTGTACTAAACCAAATCTTTTAGAATAAACAGCATAATAGTTATCATATATTGTATGAAAGGCCTCGTAACGCAAAAAAAATGTGGATTGTCAAAGAGCCAGCAAACAAAATTTCCTATGCTTAAGGAAATTGAAGGTTGAAACAGGTCCTTAACTTTTTTTCAGTTATTGCTAATGGAATTTTGCGAAAAGGAGATAACTATAAATCTCAAAATATCACGTAACATATAATGTTTCACAAGATTGGGACAAGTTTGTATTATCAAAGCTCAATACGATCACTGACTCTGAATATAATATTAAAAGTTGTCTTAAAATATTTCCATTTAAATTGTGGCTTATCTAAGACTATCTATTATGTTTAAAAATCATTCGTTAAATTTTGTTATAGACCTTATAACATTTCAGAAATATTATATTACTTATAACATAAATACAACATTCCAGGATTTTACGTTCGGGATATCCATCCCATTAAAGTAATTTTGAGAAATAGGGTTGAAACTCTTAAGATATATATTTTTCTTAGAACGGTATTAATGTTAGGACAGGGTTTTTCTTAGTTTATAAATCACCATAATTTATTGTTTGCTTAAAAGTGTTTAATTTGTTCTTTGGAGAGAACCTATTAACGGCTGAATACCTGCTTGAAAACAGGAGCCTTTATTTTAACATATCAAGTTAAAGAGGCAATTCATTACCGTTCTTGAAAACTCACCATCGTTGTTGCTCGGAATACAATTTATCGTGTTACCATTTATCAGGACCAAGAATATTAACGATTTTATTAAAAGTATTATGTGCTATTTAGTATCATTACAAATTAGTAGAATAAATATATAAATTATATTTGTTATCATTCTTTTACCAAATTATATTACATAAATTATGAAAATATTTAAATAGAAATAAAAGGCCCGTTTTATAATTTTCTACATTCATGACGCTAGGTTCAAGATAAAAACTTTATGGTGATAAAACTTAGAAGTTCAAAAATATTTTTTAGACAATTACTTATGAATGATAATGAAAAAATATTCTAACTTGTAACAGTACTCACAAGTTCACATAACTTCAGTCTTCGTACAATATTACATTAGAGGAAAAATATATATATATTTTGTATAGTAGTATTTTTTAATATTATTCAGTTTTGGAAATAATGCAAAATATAAAATGTTAACGATAACCTAAGAGTGTCGCATTAATAACTTAAGAAAAACGCTTTGAAAAAAAACGTCATTTCAATGTTGTATTGTTTTTTGTTTCTAGTGCAAACGTACATGTTCTTTTAAAATACCAAAGGTTTGAGAATTTTTAATTTATATATAGACAACAGCTAATACAGTAGCAGTTACTAAAAGCATGTAATGACACTTTATAAGATTTGAAGAAGTTAAAGATATTTATTAAGGGAAAGTCTGCTTATAAAAATATATACCATATTATTACTCTGGGCGTTCCCGTTTCCCCTATAACCTCTTTTATATCTATTTCGTGAAAGTGTCTGCCTGTCCTTCAAATACTAAAAGTGATATTTACAGTTTCATAATTATAAGGAGCATTCAAATGGAAAAATATAATAACAAAATATACATATATATCAGATACATTCATATTTATTTTTAAATTAATTCATATAGAACATTTAATATTTAATTTCACGCTTATTTGAACTTATCCATATAAATGAAACACTGTTCAATATAATAACACGTAATTTTAAACTATCTACATTATATAATAAACTATATAAACATATAAAGTATAAACTATTAAGTTTTCGTATTATCACAATTTTTTGTAATTTACGCAGGTACATAAAAAATATGTTTTGGCTCACGATAATAAAACATATCTGTAAGTTTCTGAGTTAAGTTAAAAGAAAAAAATATTGAACAATTGTTTTTCTTTTTACTCGTAAGTCAATACTCAATGTACAAATTCATTTTTACTATTGCAATTCAAATTAAATAAAATCATAATGTTTAAAACTACGATTTTGAGATATATAGCGCGTTTATATTATTATTATAAAACTACATTCTTTGGGAAACGTCGGAAATATGTAGTTTAAAAAAGAAACGAGTAGTATATCCGAAAATACTTGTTTTATTTGAATGAATACAATCGGAACATTGAATTAAGGATTGCAACACTTAAGTGACAGTGGGTGGGGCATCTCGCTCGTAGAACCGATGCTCGATGAGGCCAACGGGTTCCCGAGTGGCGACCACGAACCGGAAGACCCTCAACAGCGGCAGCCTCAGTATGGGTAGGCCCTCAACAGCGTGGACCGACGATCTGGTGAAGGTCGCGGGAATCCGCTGGATGCGGGTGGCACAAGACCGGTCGTCGTGGAGATCCTTGGGGCAGGCCTATGTCTTGCAGTGGACGTCTTTTGGTTGAAATGATGATGATACACTCGGAAATCTTAGCTTTCATTATCATACACAATATATGTTACGAAAGTTAACCTCTTGATTTTAAGATATGACGAATTTACTTTAGGGTCTTTTTTGTTTACGTAAAAATGGGAACATATAGGTAGATCCTATATACAAATCCTACATACCTACATACAAACCAACAATTTATAATTTGTAATATAACGTCGCGATAACATCAAAATCAGATTTACTTTGTTGAAATTTACATCGTTAGCCATAAGCCGCCTCGTTAGCCTCATTAGCAGTAAGTTTTCACTTGAGATGAGAATATTTTTCACTTTTCTTTCATGAATTTATTGAAACTTTTTACTTCATACGAAAGTTGCGAAGTTTTTAGTTTAACGTATAAACGAAAGCAACATTGTAATCCGATGTTTACATAAGTTTATAAAATACAGAACTCATTATAACATTAAAATATATATATTTATAAAATTTTAACCAGGGTTTTTTGAATTTTCAATGTTTTAAACGAAATACTTTTGAAATTCAGACACTACGGTTCAATATTGTATTTTTTGTTTTATATTCTATTTAATATCAACCGTTCATTGTTATAAAACGTTTTAGTGAAGTTTATTTCAAAAAAATAAAAATATATCCTTTATAGGTGAGTTTGATAAATCTTCTCTTGTATATTTTTTTTAATGAAGTATATAAGTACATATATTTTAGTGGATATAAAAATGTCATACTATTAACTTACCATCGCTAGCTTTTAATTAGGTTAAAACATTACTCTACTTTCGGCTTTTGGATCAGTTTCGCGGAAAAAGTAAAAGACTTTTTTCTTTAACATAATAAAAAATATTTTAATTAAATTATTTTATGATATGGGTCAGGATAGACTCCATATCACCCAAAAA